GTGTCATGAATAGGGAAAAAAAAAACTTGTATAAGTTGCTTCGGACTATAAGTCACAGGACTGGCCAAACTATGAAATAAGATCGACTTATAGTCTGTAAAATACAGTAATCAGAATCAGAGAATCAGAATAAACATTATCATTGCACCGAGATACAAGAACATATACGTTCATTCGTCCGAAAGATGGGTGGAGTGCACGAAGCTGCTACTATAAAAAGTGCGGCCCTCATTATTATTCAGAATAATATTTTGCTTAGATGAGAAAAGGGGAGAAAACATGAGGAGAGACTCTATAAAAGAAGATCTCTCACACCATGTCCTAGACAGGGCACGATTTGAGGCATAAAAAAAAACTTACCACAGCAAATCAACATAAATAGACGTTATACATGTACATATAGGCCTGTGAAGACATAGAATTTTTAAGGGAAAGTCGTAGCATAGTCCAGAGCTCCCCCCCTCAGCCATTGTCCAGGTAAGAGGTGTTATTCATCATCTGCTCGGTTGAGGTTCCGTCACATGTCCACGGCCTTGGGGAAGGGAGGAGTGAGGAGACAGACAAAGCATCTTTGATTTTGTTTTTTCAAAACATGCTAGTAGGAGTTGAGATAAGTCTGCCATCAAGGCCACAGTTTTGGGTCAGACAGAACTCGTGAATTGCTGTTTCTGCCTTTTAAAGTCTCGCTGGTATATTCCTCTCATGGAAACTCCAAACAGCCGAATTGATTCTTTACGTCGAAAGTCGAACTCACAGCTTTCGTCAAGATTATTCCCACCTTCATGTATGTTGCTAGAGAGTCCACAGTCCTGAAAACAGCTGCTCCAGCTCTCTGACGCAACTGCACATAATTCAGTCTGAGTGCTGCCAAGCTTCAACACATCAACACAAATTTGTAGACAATCCAGAATTCACCAGCCAAACAGCAAAAAAACACTTGTCATCATGAATCCAATTTGTTTCTGTCGAGGTAAGAGGGTCCTCCTTACCCTGACTCCTGTCAGGAGAAGTTGATCAATTTTGTTGAGAGACCAGCTGAACATTCGAATTAGGAGGTATGCAGGAAAAAAAGGGGGGCTCTTTCAGAGTTCACAGGACGAAAGAGTGCAAGCAGGGAAAGGGGTGGGGGGGTACAGAGGGCCGGGAAACGCGTAAGACTTCTCTGGAGAACAGAGAGAAAACAAAAATAGAATAATTATTAATTATAATTGTTAAAATAATATGAGCAAATGTCCTTTGAAAAGGGGGTTGATTGAAGTTTTGAAAAATTGTCCAGCTGTCAGTCGCTACAACAGATTCATAGAAGGTTTGGTGATGTTAATCAACTCGTATGTAGACGATACTACGTTGTATTCGTTTAAATATGTCCAGTGTCCCTTTTGATTATTTTATCAACTGCAATATTTAGCCAAGTTTTATGAATCATTATCTAAAAATCTCCTTTCTGATCGAAATCAGTAGGTTTTTGGTGCTTTGTACTACGAAGTGAAAATAAAAAAGATTATAGACAAATGTTTGTATTTTGCTTAATATTGTTCATTTTGAGAAGCTTGTTTTTAATCTATATTGTTGTTAAACCTAAACATTATATAAAAACGCATTACCAACAAATTTGCAGAAAGTCTACAACGACCTTTTAAGCCTGCTGGCCAAAATGATGCCATCTTAAACTACAGATGTGGGCCGCACAAAATCACTCCAAGGGCCGCAAATGGCCCTCGAGCCACACTTTGGACACCAGTGGCATAGAGGATACAGCCACTGTTTGAAATTTACAATTTACACTAGGAATTTGCACTTTTTTTCTATTGGAGCACAAGCAACATTGTCATCAATTAATTGTTTCAGCGTTCATTTATCCTAAAACATTTTTGTCTAATTATAGAAAGGTTATTTAATGTTTTTTTTTTTTACATGAATCTGAAAGATTATTGAAAATCAATAGATAGCTGGATTTTCAGGCACTCTAAAAAGATCGAACAAGATCTCGCTTGTCTTAGGGATCAAAGTTAATACATGATAAAACCCGTGTGACAGATTTTGATGCCAGCGTAGCTTCTAGGGTATCTAAATTCACCCTGAGTCCCTCTGGTTAGTGTCTACAAGGTGCTACAAAATCACTGTTGAGTCTTAGTGGGAATCAAGTTTGTGACTTTGCCGAGTGTTCCTTTAACACTCTCCATCCTGAGCTACACAAGCTGCGAGGCTGCAATTATCCTGCAGTGCAGGTTCTCCACTTTGGTAATGATTTATCTCAGAGGCTTGAAAGAGAATGTCACCAGTACAATTAGTATCAGGACTGAGTGCGTATTTTGGATATGCATGCTTGTTCGTACATTTCTCATGTTGTGGGGACAGAAATTAGTTTACTCTGTCTAAAGAATGTGCTTTCATTTGTGGCTTGTGCTTTAAGGTAATATCTCTCTAAACTAAGGCTGTTGGAGACTAAATGGTGAGTTAAAATTGCAAGAAAATAGGGGAATTTTCAGTAGCAGTCTCTCTGAATTCTGTTTGTGTATCAGCGAGCCATGCGGCTGCATTTTGCACAGCTGGTTTTGAAAATCACTGTTTATTTATGTACATGGCTTGAAATAAATTTCTTCTAGGCTGTTCACATTATTTTGTTGCCCACTTTGTACCCACCTTGGAAGCTACCCTCATGTTTAAATTTTTATTTATTTATTTTTGTTATTGAAGATAAGCAGATTTGGACCAGTTTTTCAGTAATAGTTTATTTTTTGCATGGTTTTTAGACTTGGACATGTTTTCTGTCAGAGGTGAGCTCCTATGCAGATGACAAAATGCAGCTCTTGCACTCTTGAGATGGGGTGGAGATGCCCATGATACCTGTGTGACTATTTTAAGCAGGAAGTTGTCATGCAAATAAGTTTTAAAAAATGTTAAAAACTAAAGCAACAACACTATGAACCTTGGTGATTCCAATCAACGTTCCAAGACATGTTGGAGACTGCCTTGTGAATGCTGTTCGCCAACTAGTCACCAGCTGTTGCAACCCGGTGAGATACTCTGTGTGTGCGTGTGTGCATGCACAGGTGAGCTTCAGATTTTAAGCAGATTGATAGCACTCAATCTTCTAAATGGGGCATCTCTCATCCTTGAGCTTTATTTTTGTGTTGGTTATTATCACGGGTGTGAAGCTCCCTATCAGTAAAAGTATGTGAGTAAAGATAAATGTGGGTTTTTGAGATAAGTAGGTATATTTCACAACTCGGCAGGAGCACCAGCCTCACATTTAACAGATCGCCCTAAATTCACCAGCATCTGTTAAATCATCTAATGCAGGGATTCTCAGTTGTTTTGGTTTCAACCCTATGTATTTTCATATTTATTGGTTATTAAAAATAACAAAGAAAGAGAAATAAACCCAGCGAGCAAGAAAACCTGAATATCAGTGCTGTGGCGGCAACAAATATTGAGTGATAGTGAATTGTTTGGTGACCTAAATGTATTTAAAGTTCTGTCTTATTCAACACATTTTATTTCCCAAATTCTGTTGGTGCCATTTTTATTTTTACAAATTGTGTAAAAAAATATATATTTTTTTTTAAATAACCTAAAAACCTTTTTTAACCTTTTTTTTAATTATTAAATTGATTAGCATATAAATGTGAAATCACACAATTATAGTTATTACATAAAATATAGTGTAAAATGTATAACAATTACATTTATTTTTTTTCCATGCCTATTGTGCAGCTCATCCATCAATCAGCCAATTGTGTTTCATGTCCAATCTTATTTTGAAAAACCGCAATAGAGCGAGTCCACAAAAAACGAATCGTGAAGTAGCGAGGGACTACTGTATTATCATTCTGCGTTTTCAGTATATTCTACTTTTAATGTCCAATTCCACAATTACGTTTGCAATTTCTACACTGTGGAAATCTTATGGCGCTAATAAAAGCTGTGAGGACAACTAAAATAATGCTGCTAAAATATTTTCCATGAAGGATTTATATGAAATATTGAGTTATTAAAATAATGATCATTGATGTTGTTTTTTTAATAATTAAGCACTTCCTAGGGATTGCTTATTAATGGCCTTTTGTCATTTTCAGTGAACTCTTAATGAAGCAATAATAGATTAAATTATATCTATTGGTATCTAATGTTCAGACCAAACATAAATACATTTCTAGTTTAACATGTCGCATAGGCAACACAGGAACACAGTCTTCAGTGTCTTTTCATATGAATCCATAAAAACAGAGGCCCATCTGGCGTGTATTTACTGCAGGATGCAAATCACTAAAGCCACACTTACGGCTGCTCCACTTCTTTATCCCACCATTTTTCCATCTACGTTTGAATGCAGGCTACACCCACACAACCAGTTTTGTCCTTATCCGCTTCTAAAGACTCTGTTATCCACATAACCATCTTCTATCTATTCCCTCTTGTTTCCTCTGGCAAGCTCCTTCTATTTTCAGTCATTTACTCTTCCCCCTGTGCTAGCCCCATTTGATGCTTCACACCTGGTGTCCTTCTAAGATGGTTTTTCTTCATATACCTCCTGGAGAGAAGGAAGAAGGGCACATTAGAAAGACTGAAGAGCTGACATGAATTCCCAAGGCCGTAGTGTCTGATTGAATTAGGACAGGCGGAGAGGATATGGTGGTGGGATGGATCACTGGTAGCTGTGCCTACATGTGTATGTCTGTCTGAGCCGGTGAGCTGTCGTAAATTTCTTACCATAAAAAAGATGTATTTTGTCTCAGAAGGTAAAAAATGTATCCACCTGTATGCACAAATCAACGCACGTTATTATATTTTATTAGAAACAATTACTGCTCATCAAATAGGCAGTTTAAATCCATAATTAAATTAATTAAAACGGAATAAAACAATCTTTTGCTGGAAACCTCTCCCCCGTGGTGCTTATTTAAAAGGCTCTGATCTTGCATCTTAATGTTGTGAATTGTAATCAGAACGTGTCAAACGTGGTTTGTGACTTTGCTTTTCGTGGTTCTCTCTTCCAGAGGTCCTTTCGTTCCTTTAGCAACGATGACCGCCACGTCATGGCGAAGCACTCCACCATCTACCCCTCCTCGCAGGAGCTGGAGGCCGTACAAACGCTGGTATCCACGGTCGAGTGCGCCCTCAAACACGTCTCTGATTGGCTGGATCAGAGCAGCGGAAACGCTCACAACAACGTCGACAGTGAAGCAGCAGACAGACCAGAGGAGGATGACCCTGGTGATGAGCCCAGCGAAGAAGCTGAAGAATCTGGCTGCAACAGGTAATGATGCGCCACAGGGATTGAGACTGATTTAATAAGTTCCTTCAAATTATAGATTTAATTTAACAAAACCAAATGAGAGGGGTTAAATAAAAGGATCCTACTCTATAATATTTTCTAATATAACCAACTTTTTAACTTTAAAAGTTAATGCTGCCTCGGTGCTCTGGGAGCGCACTCTGAAGGAGGAAATCGGGAAGGAGGAACGCTGTGCATTTCTTTGAAATTTAACAAGATAATCACCTAAAACACATATTTATTTGCTCGACTTTATAGTAAAGGTGTGTCTCGGTTGAACTTTTACTTAATAAATGCACTTCAATAGTCAAATTAGCTGCATTTTGCCGGGGCGGCGCAGCAAAATGAAGCTGATTTGACGGTTGCTCCAGGCGAGCTGGACAAAGGTCGCAGGCTGTGGCAAGCAGATTGTGTCATTAATAGCCACTTTTACCTATTACAAGACACAACAGCATGCCATACTGCTCGAGTACTATCTAGTGGCTTAAAATGGTAGTGTTCAATAATTTCAGTCAGAGTGAATGAAAACGGTCATATCTCAGCCAAAAATTGGTTTATAAATATGGGAAAACATTCATAAATATGTCGCTTTGGCGTATACGTTGCAGGGCATGCAAACTATGCAAAAATCTGAGACTTGTAGGCCGAAAAATACAGTAAATTTTTAAGAAAACTGAAATGTTTTAATATTTAACATAACAGAAAAATATAACCTGTTAAATCTCTGAAAATTAAGTCTATTTTAAGTTTCTTTCAATACCTTTGTATTTATTTTTTTGAATATTTTTGTAAACTGTGCATTTACTGGAAGTATTAAACATCATAAGACTTATCTAAAGTCTGTCTGTTAAACAGGGATTCCAGCATTGGTGGCGTGCTTTGTGGAGTGATCAGGGTCGGACTAGTAGCCAAAGGACTCCTGATCAAAGGCGACATGGAGCTGGAGCTGGTGCTGATGTGCAGAGACAAACCCACACAGACACTGCTGGACACTGTCTGTTGCAATTTACCCACACAGATCCAGGTTAGAGGCACTTTTTAATGCTTTTTCTTGTTTGTTTTTTCCTTTATAATTAATCACAGACATGCTCATTAGCATCTTAAAGCTGCATTACATCTGCAGTGACAATACAGTATTTAATCCAAGTTTTGTTTAGTCTATTCCTTTTGGATCACAGAAGAGAGAAGAGCTGAGTTATTTTTTTTTCTCCTTCTCATGCACTTTTGCATTTGACTGTGCAGAAAAGCATTGTGGGTGTTAGTGTGATTTTAAGCAGGCAAGAGGCAGCATCAAGTGTGAAGTTGAGAGGTGTCATGTCCGTGCTTCATGTTTCCTCATTAACAAGTCATGGCTCTGAATGAAGGTTCCTGACAATCCGAAAGATGAATGCTCTTTTCTTACTAATTGTTTTTAACCATTTGGAAGCTGCAGAAGGCTCAGATACACGTTGTCACGTTGTGACGTCGGCCTCTGACCAGTCGCTTGTGTTTAACACATCACAGAAGCAGACAGAAGAGAAATACGAGGTCACAAGCTCCTTGCCAGAGGCAGCCATCCTGGTCCAAACCACAGCAGAGCCCAAGCTCACACTGAAGATTACCCTCACCTCACCAGCAATGAGGGAAGATGAAGATCTAGAAGAGGAGTATGAGGAGGAGTTAGAGACACAAGAGAATGGGGAGGAAAGAGAAGAGGTGGAGGAGGAAGTGAGGGAAGAAGAGGAGGAGCAGGGAAAAGAAAATGGTCAAGGTATGAACACTGAGATTGGAAGGTATTGATTATTTTCTGTTTCTCAAGTTATGAACCCAAAATAAATAACTGTGCTGTAATAATTGTTTTTTTTTTTGGTGCAAAACTTAAATGTTTTTGTTCTCACACAAGTTTGACCACATTAATTAACTGAGGATGAGACAAGACAGGAGCAGGCAGAGGTGGGAAGAGGAGCCAAAACTACGCTCGGGGAAAACAACTCGCAGTAATCGTAGACTGTGAAAACAAACACTGAAGTTTAGACAAAAACCTCTTGAATTAGAATAGGAAAGTAAAACCTAAAAATGATCTGCTTGAGTTTTAATTGAATAAAATGTTCATCTTTACGTTTGGCATGTCTCTTAGAAGGAAGTGTAAATAAGAAATACTGTTTTGTCAAATAAATTGCTGCACGATAAAAAAAAAAAAAGATTAAATTTGTTTGTTGCACCCAAATATGACGTGTGTTGTGGTTAAATTAACAAAGTGGTTCCTTGACTTTAAGGATGCACGATATTATCGGCATGGTATTGGTATCGGCCAATATTAGCGATAAAGTTAAATATCGACCATTCCATCAAAATAACTCACCGATATACGTAAAAGGCACAGTTTTATATATATATATATATATATATATATATATATATATATATATA